GCTGCCCGGGAGAGGGTCGGCAGGGTGTCCCCCGGGTCCGTCTGCCGGTCTGCATGGGTGGCTCCAGGAAGAGGGAGCTGGGCGTAGAGTGCTGCTCAAATTCAGTTTTTCTTCACCCTTACAGTTTTTTCTTTACTCATTCATACATTGGAACAGGTTGCCCAGGGAGGTGGTAGGTGTCCCAACCCTGGCAGTGTTCAAAGCCAGGTTGGATGAAGCCTTGAGCAGTCTGGTCTGGTAGGAGGTGTCCCTGCCTAGGGCACAGGGGGGTAGCACTAGATGATGATCTATAAGGCCCATTCCAATCCCTAAAATTCTGTGATTCTATTTGAAACTAACAATGTTTGTTTAGATACTGATGCAAAACACCTTTACAGCAGTAAAAATTATTGCGTGTGATTTAAAAGAAAACAACATCAAACCTAAACAACCAAGAAACCAAAAAACCTGACACACTAAAACAAAACCACCCCAAGAATCCCTGGGTTATTTTAATGTTCTCAAAGTAGTCCCAAATCTCTTGGCTTTTCTAGTAACATTAGTGGGAGCTTGAGTCAAGGAGTTTTGGTTCCTTGTTGTGCTTTGAAACTGCTGGGAAAGTTCCGCGCGGGGAAGCAAGCAGCCGACTCAGTGTGAGTGATAAAGCAAGCTCCAACTTTATTGTTACCTCAGTCCTTCTCTTATACAGTGCATGAATAACTATGCTTATTGTTCTCTTTACCATTACATAACCATTACCTAAACCCTAAAAGTTACCGATAAATGTGCCCATTCATTACTTAGCATTACCTAACAGTGTTACCTAAGCTCTAAAAGTTACATTTATATACTTTTTCTGCTTGCGGTTGCAGCTGTGAAGAAGTCTTCTTTATTCTCTCGAGAATCCTTCTTTGTTTTCCCGGATAGTTCATCCTCGGGCTTGCAACATTGCTGAGTTTTCCCGGATAGCTTGTCCTTCGGCTGCAACATTATGCTGAGGAAATAACTTCTAATGCTGAGGAACTAAGTTTCTGAGGCCTACTTCATGGTTATATGCTCAAAGCTCCCACAGACCTTTGCTCGACTCTTGCTCGCACAATGCTTTCTGGGAGCTGTGCCCCTGTTCCTTAGCCATTCTTCAACATGAAACAGCCAAAGAGGTAGAGAGGCTGTAGCGCTGATGTGGTTTGAGAAGTGTTTTTACCATTGCTTTGCTGACCACCTCTGTGCTGTGCCTGTGTGCCCCAGGGTCAACAGCAGCCTGTCCAGTGATGAGCTTCTCCTGGAAGACTTGGAGACGGAAGGAGAGAGGCAGCTGAAGAGTCTCCTTCACCACCAGCTCGATACCACTGTCTCCATCGAGCAGTAAGTCCTGATCTGGTCCAAGTGTGGTTGGGGAAAGAGACCGGCCCCTTCCTGCCCCCCCAGTTTCTCAGTGTGCCCTGGTTTAACTCCTGCCAGCAACCCAACACCACACAGCTGCTCACTCACTCCACCAGCAGAATCAGGGAGAGAAGGGGAAGGGTAAATGTTAGAAAACTCATGGGTTGAGATAAGGGCAGTTTAATAGGGAAAACAAAGCTCATGTATGCAAGCAAAACAAAACAAGGAATTAATTAGCAGAGCAAGGCAAGAAATTAATTCACTGCATCCCATGGGCGGGCAGGTGTTCAGCCATCTCCGGGGGAGCAGGGCCCCATCACATGGAATGGTTCCTTGGGAAGATTAATGCCATCACTCCAAATGTCCCTCCTTCTTCCTCCCCACTTTATATATTAAGCATGATGTCCTATGGTATGGAATATCCCCTTGGTCAGTTTGGGTCACCTGTCCCAGCTGTGTCTCCTCCCAGTCTTCCATGCACCCCCAACTGCCTTGCCAGCATGGCAGTACAAAAAGTAGAAAAGGCCTTGGCTCTGTGTAAGCTCTGCTCAGCAATAGCACAGACATCTCCATATTATCACCCTGTGTTCAGCACAAATCCAGAACATAGCCCTGTACTAGTCACTGTGAAGAAAATCCTTCCCCAGCCCAAACCAGCACACAGTGCTAAGCTGTTTGTGCTGTTGTGTTGCTTTGTGTTACAGGTGCAAGTCAAAGCGAAGATGCTTTGCCCCTGCAGCATTTTACAAGCCTTTTGGGGAGGAGGCTGCAGGGGCTTTGACCTTGTCACAGTTCCAGGCCCTGCAGGAGAGCAGCAAAGAAACTTCCTCTCTCCGAGAACTGGGGCTCTCCGACTCGGAGATTCTGCTCTGGAAGAACCGGACTTCAACCAGGAAGGTGGGCACGCTCTGCTCTGTTGTGAATGTAGTCAGGTCTCTCTAAACCTGTGGCACCTTGGCAGAAAATTCCAGCCCGTTGTAAACCCTCTGGTAAAGAATGGTGCTCCATGTATCCCTTGCCTTTAGGCCAGCATGATCCCACACTTTGGCCCATTCTCTTTGGTGAGATGGTGTGTGTTAAAAGCTGCAGTGGAGAAGAGGAGTGGGTCCTTTGGAACACAGCAGGGCATGACTATATTCATGCCTCTGCCTTGATGATTTCAAACAAGTCATTTCACCTGTTCAACTGGGCTGGAAGAGAAGGAGGAGGAAACATTTCAAAGCACCTCAACCTCCTCCTTTCAGTATCCTGATACATCCCTGGATCCCATCACTAATTTGGGATAGCTGTCTGTAGGGAGGGGTTTGTATGTTTTCTTTAGGGGCTTGCAGGTCCTTCAAGGGCTTTTGGAACAGCCATGTGAAAACAGCAGTGCAGAGCCATCAGAGCAAGTGTGTGATGGCAGTGCTGTGCTTCCCCATTTGCAGCAGGTTTCTCGCC